AAGGGCCCAGGTCCCCGGTAGAAGGTAGCCCAGTTGTATAGGTCACAGAAGGCACGGAGGTGCCCAGGTATGAGGTGCGTGGGGCTGAAGTCACCTGCTAACCTGTTTCAGGCTGCCTACCCGTCCTACCGGGGCCAGAGTGGCTGTTGGCAATAAAAGTCCTGCCTGGGTTTTTATGAACCCAGGTGTGACCTTTGACCCAAGTGGGTCCCCGCAGACTAGCCAGGCCACTCACACTAGTCACTGGCCCAGGGCTTGTCGGCCGTGCCCAGGGCTGGAGTCTCCCCAGCCCTGCACAGCGTTGCCTGCTCCCTGGTCTACAGCCCACCCGCCTTCTCCTTCCTCCAGGGAGGGAGGTCATTACCATCAACCAGCTTCTGGACGACGACATCCTGAGGAAGCAGAACGACTACGTGGAGGTAGGAGCCGGGAGGCGAGGATGTGAGGGAGGGACCTCCTACAGAAAGTCGGGGACCTCCTACAGAAAGTGGGAGGGGCACTGGTGATCTAGACAGGCTCCTAACTGAGCAACTACTATAGCCCGAGCATTGTGCAAGACAGGTTTATGTGATCGTCGAAATGGCCCTGCGAAGTCAAACCCATATTGTTTATGCCAGGCCCAGCTTAAGGTCATGGGCCTAGGCCGATGGGTTGGGTACCAGGTTTGAACCCAAGTTCATGCTTCATCCACTGTTACTCCGCGTCTGACCAAAAATCAGTGCTGTAGCTCAGCAGCCTCCGGGCAGAGGCCCCATTGCCCCGACTTCCCTAAGAGGCGGAGTACCAGAGGATTAGGGACAGACCAGGACCTTCTCAATGCTCAGGCCCATCGGCTTCAGAATCGCCCAGCACCTCGGATCTCTGAAAATGAGGACCGTGGGCTGTAAGAAGCATAGGATGGGGGGAAGGGGTCCCCAGGAGAGATTACCTAGCTTCTGGAAGAAGGCAGAGTTGCCTGGGGTCACATGGTCAACACAAAACTGCTTTCCCACTGGGACTTGATGGCTCCTTGCAAAGGCGTGTTCAGAGCCATGGTGTACTGGTGACCTTTGCCAAAAAGGAAGGGAGGGCCTCCTGGCACAGCAGGGTGGGTACCGGCCGGGTATGGGGTCAGAACAGCCCTTGGCAGTGTCCTGGGTAGAGTGGCCACGAGCCCTGTGTCAGACCAGGGAGATAGATGCTCAGGTGTTGGGCAGCACCAAGTCTGAGCAGGGAGTGTCCCTGATGGGGACCACTGCTCCCATCCTCCCTAAGGCTCCTCAGCTTCCTGCCCTTGCCCAGGTCCCCCCTCCCCCCCCCCCGGCCAGGCCTGAGGACCAAAGGGGGGAAACATGCTACAGAGTCAGGGCTAGTAACTGCCTTGGGCCTGACTGGCTAGATTGAAGCCCCCACACGGCAGCGAGTGATGGAAGGAGGGAGCTAACCTCAGGCCACTCCCCGCATTGGGTGAGCTCACTCCCCGCCCGGCCCGCCCACAGAAGTGCATTAACCTGAACCGAGCCATCCTGAAGCGGGAGCTGGGCCTGCTGGACAGGGACATCATCGACATCCCACAGCTCTTCTGCTTGAGGCAGCTGAGAAACGTGCCCTCCGCGGAGCAGACCGAGAAGCTCTATGCCAGGCCCTACTTCCCCAACCTGGTGAGGCTCGGGGTGGGCTGCCTGCCCCCGGGGTGGGGGGCTGTTCAGCCACCTGGCTGGTCCCCTGACATACGCGGTGCTGAGAGAAGGTGGAGGGAGGACCCCCCCCCCCCCCCCCCGCCACGGGAGCAGTGAGTGGGGCACAGGCTGGCTGGGTGACTTGCTAAACAGTGACCATGGCTTGGCTCTGGGCTCACCCCCAGCCTTAGGGTAGTCACTATGCAGCCACCTCACCAGGATGCTGTGCCATCACCAGACTGGAAGGGGCCGGGCAGCTCTGGCTGAGACGGGGGGTTAGGGAGCAAGGTCCCGGGACAGCATCTTCCTGCCCACATAGCCTGTGACTCCCGGGAGCACTGCTCCTATGGAGACGAGCTGGAGTTGGGGGTGTGCTTGTACCTGAGTCCCCTGCGGTGCCAAGCCTAGGCCACCTCTGGCCTGTACCTGGCCTTTCTCACACAATGGCAACCTGCCACGTGGGCACGTGGCATGCTTCCTCTGAGACGTCTGGGCCGATTCCTTTAGCACGTGCAGGCCTCTCTAGGGCCCAGGGACACATGGCGACCTGTTAATGTGACAAGAGCCATGTGGCCCCCTGGGCGTGACCCAGGGGCCATCATAGGCCTTGGGAGTAGGTGCGGGCCCGGGGAGTTGCTTTAAGGCAGTGGTCGGCAAATGGCGGCTCGAGAGCCACATGGGAGTTCTTTGGCCCCTTGAGTTTTTAGCAAAGGCCAGCTTAGGAGCACCCTAATTAAATTAATAACAATGTACCTACCTATACAGTGTAAGTTTAAAAAACTTGGCTCTCAAAAGAAATTTCAACCGTTGTACTGCTGATACTTGGCTCTGTTGACTGACGAGTTTGTAGAGCTGAGATGCAACAAATGGACGTTCCAGTAGAGGGAGGCAAGATGGTGACGTGGACAGACTGAAGGCCAGAACAGATGAGGGATGGGGAACCAGGGATGTTGGCAAAGCCAGACATGGGCCAGGCAGGGTTTTGGTTTTGCTGCTGAGAATCACGAAGGAGCAGAGCCGTTGGAGGCTCAGGTGGAAGTGAGCTGGACCCGCAAACATTGACTGGCCACGTCTGCATGCACGCAGGCCTGGAGCAGGGCGGGTATGTGCTCGCTACAGCTAGTCTGTCAGCCCGCGGCAGCCGGGTGTTCTCTTGCATTGAACCCAGTGGCACCTTCTTGGGTGGCGCCAGCCCGCCCATGCCTTGCCCACCCTCTCTCTCTCTCTCTGACAGCTGCAGCTGATTGTGATGGGCAAGAACATAGGCATCCCCAAGCCGTTTGGGCCCCAGATCAAGGGCATGTGCTGCCTGGAGGAGAGGGTCTGCCAGCTGCTAGAGCCCCTGGGCTTCAAATGCACCTTCATCAACGACTTCGACTGCTACATGACCGAGGTCGGAGACTTCCGCGCCTGCGCCAACGTCCTCCGCCTGCCCTTTGCCTATAGATGGTGGAAGATCGTGCCTTAGACCCAGCCTGGTGCTGCCAGCCCGGTCTGCCCCTCTGTGCTGGGGTGGGGCTGGAGTTGAGAAGCCCCCTTATCGTGGTCCCCCACCCTTCAGAATCCAGTGGGGTGGCAAAGGCTGCCATAGCTGCTCCCCTTTGGGTAGAGATGGAAACGGTCTACAGCCGAGTAGTGACGAGCTACGCATTAAAGCTCTCGTTCTGAATGCATCCCGGCCGTGGCCACCTTGTCTGGGGAAAGGGCAACAGCTCAGGATGGAGCTGGGCAGCAGGGACTCCTAGGCTGGCACTCCACTTGCCTGGGCTGGCACGTGGCTGTGTGGACCCATCTGTAGTGGGAAGTGGTAGGAATCGGATGGTTTGAATTCTCTAGTGAAAGTATGGGACCAGCCAGGTTTAGGGGAAGCCCAGCCCAGGAGGGCGATACCTGCCTCAAAAGCAGCAGCTTCGCCACAAAGTGGCTCTGGTCTCCTTGGGGTGACCTGAGGGACAAGGTACAGCAAGGGCAGCCCTGGCCAACTCCCACTGCGCCCGTGTCCAGAAGTGTCCACTCTGGGACACGGAGCCACCTATTCCCATCTGCTGTCTGTGGTAATGGCACAGATGGCTATTAAAGCAAGTGGTTCTGAGAACGTATAGCCATGGCTGGTCCACCCTCCTCCTCCCCTGGCTAATGGGAAGCTGCAAGAAGTCTAGGCCCTTGGAACGGGGGAAACACCTCCTGGGAAGGGTGAGTCTGATCATGGGACAGCCAGGACCGAAGGCTCTGTGCACGGGTGAGCAGTGTTGAGAGTGGTGGTTGCAGGGGTCTGGTGGATGGTGCGAGGTGGCTCAGCCCCGTAGGCCTGGAGGAGCAGCCTGGGCAGAACAGGAACTACATGGGGTCTCTGCACACACCTGGCCTCCTGGTACCCCCTGGTGGGCAGCTTGCCACACTGCAAGCAAGGGGCCAATGCTGGGCTAAGGGGCACATTTGTGACCTTCCGTTGGTGGGAAGGGTGAGAAGTGACTAGGTGTTCCAGGCACACAAAACATACCAATGTTCTGGTACTTTCTGTGCCTGTCATCCTCACAGCCCCAACGCAATAGACACACAAACTCCACTTCTGAGTTTGGGCAAGTGAGTGCTGAGCCTCCCTCCCCAAGGGACAGTTGGGAGTGCCACACACCTCACCCCTGTGGTCAAGCCCAGATGCTGAGGGCCCGCTGCCCTGGACTTGCCCCTTCCCAGGAGCCTGGGCAGCGCATGTGTGTGGGGGTGGGTGGGGGGGGACCGGGGGGGATGGAGATGATCATGCTCTTACCTTTTTTCTACTGAAAAATAAGTGCAACAGCCAAAACAGAGTAAACAATGATGTCGTTTATTTAAAATGTTTACTCCAAGAAATATATATAAAAAAAATAAGACAATTACAGCACTAAACCAGGCACCTTCGACCAAATCACCCTCCCAGGCTCCCCTTCCTTCTAAGCTTCTTCCGAGGTCTCCTTCCTGCGCTAGAAGACATGGCAACGCCCAGGATCAGCGCCAAGCACTCGCCAAGCCGCGTCCCTTCCTCCTGGAGCAGGGACCGCCCTCCTCTTCTACAGAGGACCCCGTTAGGGAGTTCACTTTAAACTCAGCCAAAGGAGTGATTGTGGGAGAGCAGCGGGCAGCCTCCACTGGGAAGGTAGCCCCTTTCCTGCTGTCCCTGCAAGGGCTCTAGCATAGACTGGGTGGCCTCAGCTCAGCCCGGGGGTTGGTGGAAGCCCTGCGTGGCCTAGGGCGGCTCCTGCAGCCCGGACCAGGCTCTGCTCCCGCACTCAGTGCCTACAGGCCTGAGGGGAGCTGTGCGCGTCTTAGGAACACGGGCATCGAACCCGCTCCGAGAGAGACTTGTCAGGGAAATGGGTTCCACATGAGGAAGCTCAAGTTAGAGATGGTGGTTTCGGGGGTGATTTGGACAAATTGGGTTAGTTTAGCAGAAGCTTCTCCCCGGGACTGGCTGAGCCCAGGACAGCGGGGATGAGCAGGAAGTGAGAGCGAGTCTTGGCCGCAGGCCGACTCCTCACGCCCGGCCGGACAGACACAGGCCCGGGGAGGGCAGACGCCATAGCGAGGAGCGGAGGACGAGCAGGGGAAAAGCAACAACAGGATCATTTTTTGGCATTTTAACATCAAGACAATGACAAGTGGTAACAATAGCAAAACAAAATCAAAGACCATATTTAACTTTCCCATCCACCCGAGTCTCACGCTGAATTCTATCCCCCTCTCCCCCAGAAGCACCACTGAACTAAAAAGTCTATTTAAAGCACCCAAACCAGTCCAGACCCTCTCGAGGCCAAGAGCCCCAGGCAGCGCGGTCGCCTCTCTTGGGTCCCAGGGAGAGGAGGGATCCGGGAAAGGCACCTCGTAGCTCACGCAGAGCGGCCACCGCGGGACGAGCTGGCACAGGGCGCCTGGCGGGAGGCAGCTGGCGGTCTCAGCGTCTGCGCTGACACGCGGGGACGGGACTTCTGCACGATCCCATCTATTTGGTACCCCAGCCCGGCCAACGTGACCAGGGCTGGGTTAGCAGAACTGGAACCCGAGTCTCAGACACAGCCCGGGCTGTGGCAGCTGAACCAGCGGCGGGGGCGGGGGCGGGGGGTGATAAAAACAAGCACAAAGGCGCTAAAGGCTGGTACATAGGGCGGGTCCTTTGCAAGGACTCAGAATGCACTTTTCTCGGCTGGCAGATCAATCTCTAATGGCGAGCGCTGCGAGGCGGCCCTGGCCCCTCAGAGGAACCTTAACGCTGGTTCTTGAACCAGATACAATGTCCCCATGGCGGACGCCCCGGAGCCGCTTGGTTCCACGGTCACCTGATTTGTCACTTGGACGTCATGTACAGATAAAGTAGATATAAATGGCTAAACACATGCCCCGAAGCCCCCACCAGGGGGGAGACGGCAGGTTCTATTAATGTTGCAGCCAAGAGGCGGGGCTTACAAGCAGCCGCGGGGAGGACACGGAACCCGGGAAGGAAGGGACCCGGATGCTTCCTAAGCACGCGGGCCTGGTTACGGATGGAGAGGACCACCACGGGCCCCCTTTGCCGACAATGCTGCCGGTGAGGGGCACTGTTTTCTGAGCAAATGGCGATCCTCCCCAGGTGGCACCCACTCCGATCACAATGCTAATTACAATGGAAAGGAGAGAGCATTGAGAAGTGTATTGAGGGGGTGGGAGAGAGAAAAACTTAAAAAAAAAAAAAAAAACCTGGTTGCTCAAAGTTTCTGCCTCTTGTAGGAATGGTAAGTCAACTATGAGCAAATATTTTAATCAAACATGGAGAAAAAAAAACACTTTGGAAAGCATACAGAAAAGGTAGTTGATGTTGAATCACTTCTAAACGGAACCTCAGGGAGTCTAACAAAAATGCACCTCTGGTCGACTTGTTTAAATTCCTCGTCGGACTTCCGTCCCAGTGCACGTGGAAGTGACAGCTGCCGCGAGAGGGGGCGGAGGCCCCAGGCGGTCAGAGGGTGCGCGGGTTATACTCTGGCAGCTTCTTGATCTTCTCTTTCTCAGTCTCACTTTCGTCTCTCGCGATCACCAGGGAGTGCGAGTAGCCCATGGCAACCTGGGGGGGGAAAATCGGTGTTGGGTGTGCCAGGGCACTCACTTTGGCACACAAGCGTGCCACTGAGTCTGGAGCAGACAGACACACGGACAACAGGACACTAGCCAGCTGGAAGGGTAAAGGTGGGATTACGGACCAATGAAGGAAAGTGGAGTTAGAGATGCAGGTGCCTAAAAGTGCTTTAAAACCCTTTTCTCAAGGTCACTGTCTCAGCGTGGCCTGTCACCGACACCCTGCCAACCAGGCTGCCCGGGATAAGAGGGAGACCCGCTGAGCAGGAACTGGCGGGGACACTCGGATCACGCTCCCGATTCTGCCCGCCTCTCTGGACCACAGCCCTGTCTGTGTGAGGCGCACCCACCATCTGTGCTCGGCAAACAGAGCCGGCGGCTGGTGGACCTAACAGAGAGAAGGGGCCTCACCCCACCCCAGCCCCATCCCAAGGGGGTGCAGTCTGGGGGCAGCCACGGCAGCTATGAGATGGACTCCCCCAGGAGCAAAGCCACTTGCGGCTGGTGGTGGTGAGAGTCACTCAGGAACAGCCCTGGAGCCAGGCTGCGTATCTGTGTCTGCGGATGGCTGTCACCAGAGACCACAAAGGGGAATGGGGAGATGTGAGCTGGCACATCCCTCTGCTCCCACAGGCGGCGGGCGGCTCACCTGCTCCGTGAAAATGCCGTCCAGCGTCTTCACCTCCTGCGCGGCGGTGGAAGACTTGGGCTTGTGGTCCCCGTAGCCCTGGCGAGGAAGCAGAGACGTCACAGACCGTGTCACTGCAGCAAGGCCCGAAACAGGAACGAAGGCAGCCCACCAGCAGGGCCAGAACTGGCGGGCTCTGTGACCGACCCCGCTGCTCAGGCGGGGCCCGGCCGAGGCAGCAGAATGTACCCACAAAGTGCCGCCTACACGGACTGGTGCTTGAAGATGGACCCTAAACGGTCACCTTTGGAGATGTGACAACAGGTGCCTTTCGGGCGCCTCACCGTGAGACAAGACCAGCACGGGCCCCGGAGAAACGGCACTGCAGCCCTCCAGGGACCGCCGGCCACCTACCTGCCCACCCTGAGGGCCGAGACCAAACAGCGGTGTTATTAGGAACGACACCTCGGTCCCTACCAGGGACCAAAGGGACTGGTCAAGGACTGCTGGGGCGGGGCGGGGGGGGGGGGGGGGGGGAGGCGGGGCAGGGGAGGTGCAGGGGGAGCCAGGTGCAGAGGCCGGGATGGGTGATCTACTGGGGATCGAGTCTGCCACCTGGGCCTGTGCCCGGACCAGAATCGAACTGTGACCTCCTGGTTCATAGGTCGAGGCTCACTCACTGAGCACGGAGGCTGGACTCCCTCTAGTTTTAAAAGGACATTCAGAGTCTGTTTCTGAGGCCCCCTCTCTAAGAACAGGCCCTCAAAACTGGGCCAGGTTCTTAGTTCAAGGCTCCACATGGGCCCCTCAGAAGCTGCCCACTGAACGTGGGTGCACAGCTGGTGCTTCCCCATCCCCGTGACGGGCCCAGCTGACGTGGACAGGAAGGGCTTTCACAGTACGGTGACCCTTGAACAGCTCGGGAGTGGGGTCTAGGGACTAACGCACCCCGAAGTTGGAAATCCACGTGTAACTACAGTCAGCTCTCTGCACACAGATTCCCAGCTGTGGGGGTGACCCTGGGACAAGGTTTGCGCTGTGTGCGTCACCTGCCCTGCAGTCGACTGAAAACATCTGTGTTGTCCAGGGTCAGCTGTACCCGATGGCACAGACCGTTTCTGCAGATTGACGCACTAAGACCAGAGACTGTTACAGCCTTGATGCAGCAAGGAGACATTTCTCCGTTCCACGTGTTTGAGGCACCGGTGTCAGCGAGCCGGACTGGGCCCCACCTCCCGCCCGAGGGGCCAGCTTACCAGTTCCCCGAAGGTCGGTGACGGGCCCCAGCTGATGGTGCTCTCGTCCGCGGCCACGATGATGCTGCTCTTCCTGCAACAGGCAGAGGCAGTCACCACCGGCAGACGAGCTGCGCCCGACCTAGCTATGGGGTGAGTCCTGCTCAAGACGGGGGCCACCTACTCGCTTTAAAGTCAATGTGTCCTCCTGAAACTCCCCCAGGCCTCACGTCCTAGGAACTGGGCACCGGATGGGCGAGCCCGTGAGCTTGGGGCCGCCGGCAGCGGAGAAACCCCCTGCAGAGCCTCACAGGCCCGACCTCCCGCCTCCACCGCCCCAGAGCCGGGCTCTCGGGCGGGCATGGGCAGGCACTTCTAAGTGGACACACTGGGCAAGGAGACCGAGACAGGGTGCAGTGAGAGCTCTTTCCCAACGGCTGGCTGCTGTTTAACCAACTCCCCACCAGCTCAATGGGCTCCAAATAAGGTGAAAAATCACAGGCCTAAATTTTTCTAGCCAGAGTATCAGAGCAACGGAAACCACCATTCCCAACTAAATATACCTTTGAGTCTGTAATATGAGCGGCGCACACCAAGCCTCCAAATGACAGCAAAACAAGTCCCCTCCTTGGACAAGCACAGCCCCTCCCCTCCATCGATCCCTGATGGACAGCAGACCCTCCAGGGAAGAGGCATCTCTGGGGTGCAACTCCCCCAGGAGGGGGACAGTCCTGCTCACCCCCAGACACGGCCACGTACCCACAAGCCAGGCTCCGGATTCTCCAGCCACAGAGGTCCTGCACGGTCTTCGGGTACATGGTGGACTCCCGCGAAGTGTTGGTGGCCCCCCAGAAAAACAGGCCACCTGGAGAGGCAAAGACGACCCTCTGAGTTCTTACCGTCAGCAACAGCAAGGACAAAGGCACAGGCGCTCGGCGCCAAGGACAAGAAGAAGCCGAGGAGATCAGGACAGGACGCCCGGCCTTGAACAAGCCAGAGCTCTGGCTCCCACGGAGCTCTGCCAGGGAGGGAAGCCTCCGAATGCGTGGCACCCTCCTCCCAGGCCCGGCGGGCACTCACCCACTTCGCTGACGGCGAAGGAGCAGGTGTAGCCGGCGTAGATCTGGGTCGCCCCGCGCCCGGGGAAGTCGAACAGCTTCACCAGGCGGGGCACCATCTCGTCCTTCTGCTCGGCGTGGCCCAGCCGGCCGTAGCCGCCGAAGCCCCAGGAGAAGACACGCTTCTGGGAGTCGAGGACCAGCTGCGGGGAGAGAGCGAGGGTGGGGACAGGCCTCCGACGGGGTAACAGGTCCCCGTTTCCGTCCCGGAGAAACTGGGGCAGTGGCTGCCGGCACAGGGCGCACCACTGCAGAGACCCCGGCCCGTCACCCGCCTCCCAGGGAGGGGGAGGCGGCAGGAGCAGCATTGCCAGGGCTATGCTGGCTGCTCTGCCAGGGACAGTTTTCCATTCTTCATTATTTTTGTTTGGTTGGCTTTTTTAAAACATATTTTTATTGATTTCATAGAGGAAGGAAGAGGAAGAGAGATAGAGAGATACCAATGACGTAAGAGAATCGTTGATCCTGCAACACCCCTTACTGGGGATGGAGCCCACAAACCGGGCATGCGCCCTGACTAGGAAATGGAACTGTGACCTCCTGGTTCACAGGCTGACGTCCAGCCACCGAACCAGGCTGGCTGGGCAGTTCTTCCCCTTCCCTGGTGAGAAGAGGGTTCAT